TCAATTGTACACTGTCTGCGCAGCCAGAAGCTACGTTATCCCACATGTATAAGGTGGTATGGTGATCATCTCCCCAATGTTCTGGTTTGATCATACATCTTCCTCGGAAAGCCGAACAATTGGCACTGAGAAGTCTGTGGTAGCCTGCCATGTCTAGTTGTCCATTGTTTCCATTCAGTTCTAGGGCTTGATAGGGGTACTCTTCTCCTTCCACAATCTGTTTCATACTAGTGACTTCAAATTTGGGAAAATTGAAAGGGTTGTAGGCGTAATTGCCAGAGAAAGCCTCTTGATAGACCAATCCTACCACCACACGGTCTGGGACTCTTCCACTGAACACGTCTGTAGCTGTAAAGGTTGTGTGATCGTTTTGCAAGGTATAGGTCCTGACTTCCGAACGGACGGTGGGATAGAATACTTCTCTGTTGTTTTTGAGTCTGGCTACAGCGATTTCATTGTAGATGTCTGACCTGACTTTAACCATGCACGCATAGAATTTCATTTTCAAATCACCGGCTTGTATTATAGGTCTACCTCCGTATACTGAAGATAGTAACGAACGTATTCTGATTTTGTTGCATACAAGTATAACATGACATGTCTGAAACAAAGATCACCCATGACCTTACACAAACGACAAGTGAATAATGGATAACATCTGACTATTTGGTTAATGGCGCTTTTAAAAAACAGAATTAGATACAATGAGGTAGTTTCCATCTAGAAAAAATACAGAAAGATACAAAAATTATCATATGGAATCAATCCGCTCATTTGGTAAATATAAAAATAAGTATTAAAATATCGAAATCGAAGTTTGTGAAAGTCTATTCAGCAAAATTATTCCAAAATCGGTATGAGTTATTGCAAACAGAAGTAGATACAATGCGGAAGTTTCCATCTAGAAAAAATACAGAAAGATACAAAAATTATCCTATGGAATCAATCCGGTCATTTGATAAAGATAAAAATAAAACCAAGGACTTGTTTCAGGATATACACCCATCTGAAAAAAATAATTATACCGATATAGAAGTTCGTAAGAGTCTATCCAACAGGATTATTTCAAAATCGGAATGAGTTATTGCAAAAATACGCATTTCACGGCGAAGACGTTCTAGAGTTGATTCAGAATAATGACGAATTGTTTCATGTAAATGAAATGCAAAACATAAATATCCTTTTAGAACTGGAGTAGCGACCTAAAACGAAGAATGATTACCGTTATTATTGTCAAAATAATACATATTACGCTTGCTATGAATAAACGGTCAAATTGCTGATCTAAGAAAAAATAACGAGTGGAATATAATTGGAATTACCCAACCTCAAATTCATCGACTCCATGAACTTTTTTCCCATGGCACTGTCCAACTTCCCTAAAACATTCGGACTCAATGAATTGAAGAAAGGCTTCTTTCCACATTTCTTCAACACTCAACAAAACCAAATCTACGAAGGGTACATGCCCGACAAATCCTACTACGACCCCGATGGAATGTCCCCTCAAAGAAAAGAAGAATTCCACAAATGGTACAACGAGAAAGTATCCGAAAGATACATTTTCAATTTCCAACACGAACTGTTGACGTACTGCCAATCCGACGTAAGGTTATTGAAACAGGGGTGCACAAAGTTTCAGTCCCAGTTCCGCGACATTTGCGGTTTCAACCCCATGGTGCATTGCATCACTATTGCCTCTGCCTGTAATATGGCCTACAGAAAAAATTGGATGCCCAAAAACAAAATTGCCATCGAACCCGTACGTGGATGGAGACCGAATCACACCCAATCTCATGCTGCTCTAAAATGGCTTTACTGGGAAGAATCCAAACTCCACAAAACCAACCATCTGCCTCGAATTGCACATGCCAGAAACAAAGGCGAAAGAAGAATAGTCAATGGCACCAAAACCTACCTGGTAGACGGCTACGACGCACAAACACATACCGTCTACGAGTTCCAAGGCTGTTTTCACCACGGCTGTGTAGATTGCTTCCCAAACCGTACCAAGAGACATCCCATTCATCAGAATAAAACCATGCGTGATGTTCGTCAACAAACACGAACTAAAATCAATGAACTTACCGCCTTAGGTTACCACGTCAAAGAAATCTGGGAGTGCGAATGGAATGACATGCAAAAAACCGATCCACAACTAAAAGCGTTCGTCGAACACCTAGACATCGTACCCCCTCTCCAGCCACGAGACGCCTTCTTTGGCGGTCGCACCAACGCCATAAAACTACACCACGCCGTTGACGACAACGAGAATGAAAAGATCGAATACAGAGACATCATATCGCTGTACCCGTGTGCAAATTTGGAATGCAATTACCCCGCCTGCCATCCCGAGTTCATCGACCAACCAGGAACCACAGACATCTCACGATACTACGGATTAATAAAATGCAAAATTCTACCTCCCTATGAACTCTACCATCCAGTTCTACCATGGAGGTACGACTCAAAACTCCTCTTCCCATTGTGCAGAACATGCGCGCAACAAAACACAGAACGAACCCTCTTAGAAAGAAGCTACAAGTGCCCCCATTCTGCCCAGGAACGATGCCTCACAGGTACGTGGACAACCCTGGAACTACAGAAAGCCCTCGAAAAGAACTACGTCATCATGTACGTTTACGAAGTCTGGAACTTCCCACAACGTTCCAAGGAACTTTTTTCCCCCTACATAAAAACGTTCATGAAACTCAAACAACAGGCTTCTGGATGGCCTTCCGAATGTGACACCGAGGAAAAAAGACAAACCTATCTCGATGACTACAAAGCTCACCAAGGAATAGAACTAGATCCCGCCAAAGTCGAAAAGAATCCCGGTCTACGCTCCCTCGCTAAACTAATGCTCAATTCTTTCTGGGGAAAATTCGGACAACGCCCTAACCAAACCCAAGTGACCACGTGTACCAAACCGTCCGAATTCTTCCAGATCATCACAGACGACCGACAAGTCGTACACAGAATTGAAATAGCCAATGACCAAATGGTAGAAGTGTACCACACCTTTGAAAATGAATGCAAACCCATTCAAACCAACGTCAACATCTTTATTGCATGTTTCACAACCAGCTACGCAAGACTAAAACTATACGATGCTCTTGATACCCTGAAAGAAAGAGTACTGTACTTCGACACGGATTCTGTCATCTATACCAAGAAACCCACTGAATCGTCCATTCCCACCGGAAATTATCTGGGCGAATTCACGAACGAACTCGACGAAGGTGATCACATTACAGAATTCGTTGCTGCTGGACCCAAGAATTACGCCTACGAAACCTTCAAAGACAACCAATGTTGCAAAGTGAGAGGATTCACCTTAAATGTGCGTGGACAAAAAATCCTCAATTTCAACAGTATGAAAGACTTAGTGTTGGACGAAATCTTACACGAAGACGACGAGGAAGAACCTCGCACCCTAACGCTTCACAATCCTCACAAGATCACACGATGCGCCGCTACAAAAACCATCCAAACAGTGTCCCAAGACAAAACGTACAAACTCGTGTTTGACAAACGCGTCATTGATCATGACACCTTTCAATCTTTTCCATACGGCTATAAATGCACCTCGTTACTGATTTCGAATTTATTACAATCATGAACAATACAACTCATGATGATGATGCACTTGACCTCGAACTTTACTCCTGTAAATTCTACGATAAAGACATTCACGTAAAACATACCCATTTCCTCATCGTCCCTACAGATAAAGACAATACTACCATCCACATCCATTACGATCTTGATGTTCCACCTAGCAATGAAGCAGTGAAACGCTGGACACAACAACCATGGTTTCATCATTCTATCATCGAAAAGTACCATTTACTTCAACCGAAACACAGTCTTCCAACATCCAACAAAAATCCCTTCAAACGATTATGGACCAAGTGGCAAAAAAAAGGTGACAAGGTACATTATCCATCATTCATGTACTCCCAACATGTCGTGGAGTGACACCGGAGTGACACCGAAGTGACACCTTTCAACCTTTCCCTATACCTAAATAAATACAACTTCACTACTCATTTATACTTCGCTACAATACAATCATGGTTGGAACGGATGATGATGATATCGATCTTGGTATTGATCTTGAACTTTATCGATGTAAATTCTACAGTACAAACAACGAACTACAACACACTTATTTCCTCGTCGTACCTACAGATAAAAACAATGCTAGCATCGACATCCATTACATTCCCCATGTTCAACCTATCGACGATGCAGTGAAACGTTGGACACAACAACCTTGGTTTTATCGCTCTGAAATCGAGAAATTTCAACTCATTTACCCCAAAGGAACTATTCCCGCATCAGGCTTCTACCCCTTCCGAAGATTGTGGACCGAGATGGCAAGAAGAAGGTGAAACCATGACAAGGAGTCACCGAAGAACAAACTACAAAAAAACAAAAAAACTCATCAAAAAACTAAGAGATGACCGCTTTCATCTCGAAAAACATTACCAAGAAAAAATCACCACGCTCACTATTCAACTTTTAGATAAAGAATATTATCTCAACTCCATTCTTAACTTTATGAAAGATTATTATCGTTCGCCTTGGGATACCGCTGTATACAGAGGTTTCCGAAACATGTGTTTTAATAATCAATAAAAAACAGTTGAGAGATTTCTTTGTGTCGCATTGCTTTTTTTACTTAATTTTAAAAAAACCTTTCTTATCCACACGTACACAGATTCCTATCTCCTCGCGCTTGCAAACCCATTCCACACCCACACGCACGCGCTCTTTTCACTCGGTACCAGGACCTCTAGGCAGCTCGTGACGTCATTTTTCAACGCGGCTTCCTGATTGGTCCATATCGGTCACATGGGCTATATACTTGATTCTTATTGGTTGGCGCTATACTGACTTTCTATTACTACTATTAAGCTTTTTTTTATTTGTTCCAGTCTTGCCATAAACAAGACTTTCAGCATAACTCACTATTTTTCCTCTTGAATTCAAAGGGGAAAGAAATCTACATCTCCAGTTCCTTCTTCTTACAACGGTGGAATAATGCATCACAGAGAAATGCACCTGAAAAAGTCCTTCATTTTGTGTCAGGTAATAATGATTATTATGATAATAATACTTTTAAACATGCTTATAACATAGCATGCTTGCCCTATCTTAGTCCAAATCTTATTTAGGTCGTATTTTTATCTCTAACTTCAACAAAGTCTCCAGTTATCAAGGAAAATGTCAAGAAAATTCTGGAATTGAGCTTCTTTAAGACACTCAAACTGACTGACCAAAAACATTGCTTGACAACAACAATGAAACCAGGAAGGGTAGATCTAACTGGTGGCTAAATCTGTGGAATGATAATATTATGATTGCAAAAATGTACTATAATATTAAAGAGTCTCATGCTGTTACATCGATACTTTTTCGGTTTTTCCTTTTTTTTTGGTTCTTTATTTAGCTTTCTAATTTCTAAATTAAATCTGGAAAGTCATTGTTTTAGCCTTGCCCCCTTCTCCTTGGTATTTTTATCAACCCTGACTGGTTAACACATTGCACATCTTGATGTCATGATATCACAATTACAGCAAAGACAGTGAGAACATTTTATGAAGTCTTCAAAATGTTCAGCATAATGACGTGTTTTTCTGATGCTAATAATGTCTTTTTGGGCCATTAAAAAGAAAATATTTCTATTTCATTTTTTATATTTTAATTCCTTGGGGGGAATTTCTATAATTTGAGTTTGTAAAATATTGTTTGAGTAAACGTAATTTATGTTTCAATTATCATATTTTTAAAACAGATCAGACATAGTTGAGATTCGTAGTAAGTGGGGCAGGACGGTAACAGTAATTTTGACACCTGAGGTGAAAAACAGCATCGACCTCCTCAACAAGACAAGGAAAGCCGTGGGTATTCCAGATGAAAATCCATTTAATAGTTGCTAGGTCAAACAGACAGTCAAATTTGCTACGGAAGGCGACCCACCTCTGTCAAACCTTACAGAGATAGCCAGCACCAAACTCAGAAAGTATATGGCAACCATTTCCCAAGTAGTCTCTCTCAAAAGAACAGAGGTAGACCGACTAAGCAAGACACCTTGGTCATGAAATCCAAGTGCACGGAGACTTCTACTGTCTTCACGAATCTGCAGTTGAAATTTCCAAAGTGAGCAAGCTTCTTCTTACAGTCGGTCAAGGAAAAACAAGAAAGTTCACAAGGAAAACACTGGCAGAAAATGACTGAAATGGTGAGTACAAAATTGTAGATGATTTCAATTTCATAACTAATTTCTCTTGTTCTTCTGTCTATATTGTTCTTGAGAGCCATAAACTACACATTTTTTTGTTCTTCACAAACACGTTTAAGCTGCTAACTATGTTAAAAAAGAGAGAGGAAAGATCGGTCACTTACCAAGTTGAACAACACTAGGAAGCGATCCTAGACCGTTTCATGCTTAGCTGCCAACCTCGTCCCAGGGTACATCGGTCACTTTTTCAAAATGGCGGCCACGCGTACGTAGATTCCCGTGCATGAGTGCATGAGGGGATATGCATGCTAAAACAATTACTTATGGGGACTACCAGCCATACTTATGGGGACATCCTAAAACAACTAGTTATGGGAATTACTTGCTATTCTTAAAGAGCTTATGACACGAATTTTTTTACGTAAATATTTAGCTTATCATATGTACAAACCAATTCCGATTGAAGAATAGTCCCAGACTTAAAACTCGGTTTTTTCGGGCCCTAAAGTGCTTTTGTCTTAAAAGTGTCCCGTGGACTGGTAACGAATTAGCGGCTGATGACGTAGAAAACTGTGAAAACTCTCAGTCGACACCAAAATCCCTTTCACATCTCTTGCAATTTTGTATAAGTCAGCGCTGAAATAATTTTGAAATAACGACCGATAGCGATGTCTACCTACCTTAAGTAAGCTCTACCGAGAGTTGTAATACATCGTACTCAAGTTATAAAGAAGAAATGAAAGTTGCGAGTACGGTTCAGCCCTAAGAAGGAGAACCGCGCTGCATCAAACGAAGATTTCTACGAAGACTGACAAAGGCAGTTTCCCACTTGCGTTGTTTAGGTCAAGATTAGAACAAAAATTCCCGTTACTGAATGTCTAGTTTGCTGCGCTTGTGTTTTGTGGATAGCTCTGTTCGTTTCTGTTGCAATAACATTTTATTCCTTCGCACTACGTGCGACGTAGGTTCCTCTCGGTCAGTGCTCTAGTGTTTCGTTGCTGTAGAGAAATTCCCTTGGTAAACCAAAAGCTAACTTTTGAAGAAAGAATCAGTTGTATCATGAGGCACGATGATTTTCCACCGAGGAGTAATCGGGCAGTTCTACTGCAAGTTGCTCCTTCTCCCATAGATTGCAAAGGCAGAGGCTATGGTCACGGTCGTCGAGCAGGTCAAACCGAAAGGAAAACGAGTGAGTTTATAGTCATCTGATTCAAGCTAATCTCATAAAGGCATTTTAATAGAAAAAAACCTTATTTAGTTTAAGTGCAGCATTACCATATGACCCATTCCGCACAAAGGAAATAACTGACATCAGTATTATTAATGAATATTTCGTACGCATCGACTTTCATACGGCACTTGAATTCGTTACCATCTAATTCAATAAAATTTGTGTTTCCTTATTTATATCGTTGCGGTGCTGTTATCCCAATGAAATTGCTAATATTGCTACTTTCGGTTTCTTGAGGGTAGGGGGGAATTGATAGCTCGTGAGATGGACTTTCGGAAACCTAGGTTAGGAGAATACACGGCCCCTTTAAGCTTGTTTTTATGCCAGTATCCGTCAGAGGTTGCGCACTGTTCACGCAACAGGATATCGGTCAGCTCAGGAAAGGGCTTGAACTTCATTACAATTGATGTAAATCTTTTATCAAAATACGATGGAAACTACAATTGGTATGATATTCATACGATAAGAAAAGCGCAAACGTAGTCATGTGGAAAGACAAAAAGTGTGAGTACATCTCAAGCGCGTGAAATTAACATCAAGAAGGAGCTCACCACTTTTCATTTGCGAAATGTCAGCCGGAAAGAATGTTGAACAATCGTGTATAGTGTGGAAACAGGGCCCTTAATCAGCATTCGTTTTAGCTGAATTCATCGGTTATCTTACCCTGATTTGTGGTATGTGTTCGCAACAGGCGTCTTCGAAGCCGGTACGGAGAATAAGGCCGACGACATTAAAGAGTAGAATCTCCTCGATGTCGACGATCGAAAGCGTCCATTTTGGCCATAAAGCTACATCATTTGGAAAGTAATGTATATAAATGCCCGGTTTATGTGTATTATTCTTGTAGCGAACATCATTTGGCGCTCCAGCCACGCACTATGTTCGTCCTCTCTTTTACATTTCTCCATTCTCCACCATAATTGCTTACGCGTCCTCACAGTTTTCTACGTCACAGCTAAACATCGTTTTGGCCGCTCGCTTAATGGCGACACTTTTTGGCCGCCAAATCGTACTTTCAATACACAAAAAAATTGGTCAAGGAGAACTCGCTAAGCGCTATGGTTAATGATCTCTAATTTTAAATACAGCTATCAACCAGAAAATGCAAAATAAAAAATTTCAAAATTTCGTGTCATAGGCACTTTAAAGGGAAAAGCTCTACATAGCTACTAATGGGGACTACTTGCCGTACTTATGGTGACATGCTAACACGCAACTACTTATGGGGACTACTTGCCATTCTTGTGGCGACATGCTAATACACAGTTATTTACGGGGACTACTTGCAAAGAAATCAACCCTCCCCCTCCCCCCCCCCCCCGAAAAACGCAGCAGTCACATGGACATGGAAAATGAGGACCGGGGAATGTCAAAGTCAAAGAGTAAGTAGAGAAAATGTTATAATTATAAGAGGAGTCAGTTTTAGCTGAAAGCTTACTTGTTATGCTTATTTTGATTTTCTTTACAGAGTAAGATGCCTATATTTTATGTACAGAAGAAGAGAAGGAGGCAGTCTTTAAGCACCCTAGTTCATTTTTTCCCCACCCTTAATGACAACCCTTAATACCTTGCTAAAATTCAACCTCGATCGCTGCAAGGAAAACGAAAAATAGTAATTCATGATAATTATGAGCTAAGGGTTATATCCAGAATTTTTACGGTTTTTAAGTCTCTTACACTTGATCATCGATAATTCCAGAGGTGGATTTTAGTATACACTAACTAAGAGTGCTTCATTTCTGGAGTATAAGCAAAAACAATGAGAGAGTTTTGCATAATGATTTTAACAAAAAAGACTGATAACTAAAGTGGTTGAATTGAACTGTTATTGAGCAAGCATTGTGAAACCAACATCAGAGGGTTGCGCAAACAAACTACGTCTTAAGTTAAATTTTAGTTGCCCATTAGCATACAATTTTATTGCCAATCTCACTAAAAAGATGTCTGCAACATGGGATGCAGAATATCTGCTCTACTCACTAGTGAGTGGCTTTGGTTGATAACTCTCCTGTGACAGTTAAATAGACATCGCTGCTTAAAATTATATTAAAGTGTTACAGTTACATTAACTTCAAACTTCTCTTGCCTTCTTTTTTTGTGAAAAACCACCTGAAGTTCCAAGATTATGAGGAGGGCTTACCAGTCTGGCCTATATATATGCTACGTGTAGGATGGAAGCCAATGTTAACTAAGTTCCAATTACTAGATCCTTTTTTTTCTTTTATAAGAACCTTTTTTAATAGGAACGTTCAGGCTGAGATTAGCCCAAATTTTTAAAACATTCTTAGAACATACCCAGGCTGAGAGTCAGTTGAGAACTTTTTCATTTTGCTCATCTTTTTTATCTTTTTTTTATGAGAAGAATAAATGAAGGCAAAAGAAATGTTAAGCTGTGGTCAAACAGGACAATAAACTCAAATACTTAAGAATGCGGTTTTCATTGTTGTACGATAAACTGAAGAACAACTCAGATTATGGTCGAATTTAGTCCGTAATAATAAAAGTTTCAGAACATCTTGAGAAAGTTTTCAGACTCAAATTGCATAAAAAAGAACGTTCAACCTCAGCCCCCGAATTAGACGTTAAAAAAAAGGGTGTGTTACCAAAATGAAACCCATTG